TTTAAAGGAATATTAGCCTTAAAAGGGTTCAAACAAAATATTTTGCTCCTTCGCTCTTTGTGCATTTAGTTAATTATTTTAGGATAATTATTGCATGTAATTTTAAGAATTCGCATTTGTTTTCATGACTTTACAGCCGGGTTTCTGGGATCCAGAAATTATGCATAGCAATAGATAATCGAAATTACGAATTTTATTATTTTATTATTTAGTTGTTTCATAGAGTGGAAAGTGTTATAGCACTGTTGAGGAAAATGTCTTTAGCTCAGGTTTGATATTGATAAGTAAAGAATGATTAACGATAGTAATGTAAAATTTGGTGTGGAGACAGATCATAAAGATACCTGCAACCTGTGTACGAAATACTGTTTGTAAGTCAACAGTTCCGAATATAGCCACCCTGCCAGAATTTGAGGTTATATCCAGTAAAGTTAATGAAGACCAAATCTGTACTTAAACAGTAAGTTCTTCGCAAATTAATAATAATAATAATAATAATAATAATAATAATAATAATAATAATAATAATGACAGTAATAGGTATCTGGGGAAATGTGAAATAACCTTCATGGGTATTCTTCTACATTTCCTAGGGGATGGTAAAATTTTACTACAAATCCCTGAATTTTATATTTAAATATTCGGATGTCTGTCGTATTGATGTTGTGATGTTCGTAAGCATTGCAGGAGGAATGTCCAGTAGACAAGTGTCAAAATTGAATGCTTCGGTACGATAAATTAAGTAAGATATTGTGTCGGTCTAACAGAAAAATAAATGAAAGTTATTTCAGCAGTTTAAAGAGTTTTGGTACAGTATATCAGAATGTACATTACATTTGAAATACAGATGAAATATATTTTGTCTTTGCAGTAATATAAATGTGGCTTGTGCCTTTGTGTCTCTTTTATTTTATAGTGTCAATGTGTGTCTTAATCTTTAATACTATACAATTACTGAACAAAATGTAGTCTATAAACGCAAGTGTGAAATTTCTAAACATGCTTCCTATTATTTTAAAATATAATTACCGAATAAATTGTAATTGGTTAAGTAAATGTCCATAATATTTAAATATTTTCTACTATAATTAATATAATTTGTTAAAAAGACATATTCTTATAAGCGAATATTCCTAAAATTTTAGTATGTTTCCTGTGATCTTTAATGTAAGTATTGATTAAGGCATATTTTTTTGAAGTACATTTTCATAAAATTAATATACATTACATGTAATTTTTAATATACACGTAGATATTGAATAAGATTTGTTAAGTGTATGTATGTAATATTTGAATATATTGCACGTTATCTTTAATATACTAAACGTTGAATGAGATGAATTTTGTTAAATGCATCATCATCATCTGTTTCCTGACAGTTACACGGTTTTACGCTCCGATCGGGTGTCNCCTCATGTTATTTTTAATTCAAGTACTGATTATGATACCCGTAACTTTCATTAAGCGTATATCCTTAATATTTAAGGATGTTGCCTGCTATCTTAAACGTAATTTGAAATATTGAATAAGGTTTGCTTTGAAGAGTACTATCTTCTGACATATAAAGCCGCGTTGTCCTTTAAAGTTAACCAAGTCACCTTCAGGGTCGAACAAACCTAGGAAGATATCTGCGTGAAAGTGGGTGATAAGCCGATAATACTCCTGATGATCACTGCTGTGACAACTTAAAATCCTACCTAAGGTGTACTTTGTTAATTCAAATCAACACTTTAATTTTAATTGCTAACAGAAAGCTTCAGGATTCAATTAGAAGCTTGACACAATGAAATTAGTGAAAATAGAGGAGACATTGTACTGGTGTGGAACAAATATATACATACAAGGTATTCTAGTCTATAGTAAACATAGCACAAGTAGGAGTACATATTAACATTGAAGGTAACAACGGTATTTTTTTTCTGTGGCGCTACAGCCCCAATTTGGCCCTAGACCTACCTCCATGAAACTATCCGTTTCACTTCGGTTTACTAGATCTTACACATTTTGTAGGACTCCTTGGGCGAGTGATTAGCTCGTCGCAAAGCCTCTACCTGTAGACAAACACAGAAAGACGTACACAAACATTCATGCCCTGAGTGGGATTGGAACCCACGATCCCGGCTTCCGAGCGAGCGAAGACAGTGCATGCCTTAGACCGCTCGGCTACCGTGACCGGCAATTATCTATTACCGAAATTAACCATAAGACTGTCGTTAAAGGAAAAATTGTCAACAATACTTACAATAACACATACTTTATTTGCGGCTGAAGCAGAGAGAACAGGACACGTGTCACGAGAAAACAAAGGGCAAATAATATTAAAGTGTTTAACGTGTCTGACTGGAACTGTGATACCAACCTTTATAAACTGTCCTTATAAATAACGCGCCCCATTAAGACGCCGTCTCACAAACGAAGTGTGCAAATTTAAGACATCCAGACAATGATCATGTTAGAGTTTATAAAGAATCCCTTTTAATACTGGATACAAAACCTTCTCTAGGCATATTCTAGTTTACTGAAGCCTGTGTTGTGCGGGGATTTCGAGGCAACAGAAGCATATTCAAATTACGTTACAAATACAGCGATGAAAAGCAATGAAATGTCTTCTGTTGGATTTCATTAGGCCTAAATTTTATTGCATGAGAAAATTCACTATAAACATGCTGACGAAATTATAGTTTAAAGACAAGAAACTCTCCATACTTTTATGCAATCAGTACACAAAACACGGGTGTTATAAAGGGCAAAGTCAGTACATTAGGTTTTCTGGTTAAAGAGATAACTTTTCTTTCACGGGATTTAAGTTTCCTGCTGTTAATGGAACATCAGATTTGTACAGAGTTACTATCAGACTGCAAGCGAAAGCGTCATCGGTGAAGGTAATACGGCGAAAAGTTTCTTAATCATAACAAATAAGGGCGAGAAAGAGCGATATTAAATTTTGTCACACAAATCAACAATGCTCAACAAAAAGGGTCCAAGGATAGAATCTTGATGAATATCAAGACAGAGAAGAGATACCAGAACAAGGAACATAACTCTGTCTATTAGTTACGTAACTGCGAAACCCATTAATGTAACCAGCAGACAAACCGCAATTCTTAAATTCTCTAATGTGGAAATATATCAAACATTACTGAACTAAAAATAGATGGAATAAAATTACCCTTCAGAACAAACAGTGCTGATAAGACTACGCTCATAATATTTTAACTTGGTTTTAATATAACGGAAAATATGTCAATCAGAGACAAATTGGCATACATGAAATAAAAATGAGAGTGACGGTAGACATATAATTACAAAGAGAGGCTGTGTTACCTTTTGAATATAAGAGTGGCCGTATACGTATAATTACAAACAGAGGCTGTGTTACCTTTTGAAAATGAGAGTGGCCGTATACGTATAATTACAAACAGAGGCTGTGTTACCTTCTGAAAATGAGAGTGGCCGTATACGTATAATTACAAACAGAGGCTGTGTTACCTTCTGAAAATGAGAGTGGCCGTATACGTATAATTACAAACAGAGGCTGTGTTGTATTTTGAGGATCCGGGACTGTAGTTAATTTCTTGTATGCAGCCAGAAATGTCTGCATAAAGATCTAAGTTGAAGAGTAATCTTGACTAAAGTGGTGAAACTTTCAGAGCAATAATTTACAAAGAGCTAGGAATATTATTGAGTCTCACAGATTTTGTTGGTCACAGTCGCTTGTAGTTATGCCGTCAGCATCATTCTCGTCATCATCAATGAAAGCTGGAGCTAAAATTTCGTTGCGTTTTGAAAGGATGGAATACGGGAACCCATGAGAGAAATTATTATAAATGGATGGGAAATGCTTAGAACCGAGCGTATGCACATAACATTTAAGTGTGTATCTTATGCGATTTAACATAAATACGAGTGGTGAAAAAGAATATTGTTCAATATATCTACGCTGACAATATTTATTTTATTTGCTACTATCTTCAGTAATATATATTGAATAATATTCAATCGGTTAGGTAAAATTCCACAATATATAACTGCGTTCCTTATGGTCTATATAGTTAGTTAGTTATTGGAGAGGGTGGGTTTACCCATGCACTTAGACCTGTATTGGTCCATTGTGTTTCCCTCTATGATTTCTACCAGTCTCTATATCCTACCGGTACTGGTGTTTACCACCAGTCCCGCCCAGCCAGCGAGACCGGCTCTACTAGCTGAGAGGTATCTATAATGCTTCCCCCATCTACCGGAGGTATTAGAGACTGCTGTTGGGCGGGAAACGTCCGTAANCCGCTATGGTCAGTATATAAATATTGAAAATAAAATTTCCCAAGTATATGTATGTAACATTTACATATATTTCTTATGAATTTTAATATAAATATTGAAAATACATTTTCCTACGTATATGTATATAGCATTTACATATATTTCCTTAAAGTTAAAAGTAAAGGTATCCCTGTAACAGACCGTGGAGGCCAATAGGGTTGTGAGATGTTGAGGTTCCCACAATTTCGAGAGACTCGACTCTCAGAAGGCTGTACTGTTATTAGCCTTACGCGCCGGCCGCCCTTTACCACGAAGAATACTCCTGGTACTCATTTCTGTTAAAGGCTGAGTCGACCTCAGGGCCATAGTGCGGCTGGAAGGATTAGGTAAATTGAAAAAAATCAACCTCAACGGGATTCGATCCTGCGACCTTCCGACTTGTAGCATAGTGCCTCAATGAAATACGCTACCGCGTGCCCCTAAATATATGTATAAAACATTAAAATGTAGTTCTTATGTTCTTCAATATAAATTATGTATTATATGTAGTTTATTATGTACACGTTTATATTATTTATGAATGTCTATTGTGATCTTTAGTACAAATGTTGGATTACATTTAATCGTCACATGTATATTTAGAGAGAAGTAACATTAATACCTATTTTTTGGAATAATACAGGAAATTTATATTACATAGAAATAGGATAATGACATATAATTAAATTACTTGTCTTCAGGGACAGAACTTTCGGAAGAATTCTGCAATCTGCAGTTTCATGGACTGTGATGAAGAAAGTGTAATCATGAAGAAACCAGAAGAAAGTGTATATGAGAGTTAACAGTGGCATGAAGAGTGAACTGTGACCGCGGTGTAATGCTGAAGACATTGACCATGAAATCCCCCGAAAATACTGCGTGATACTGGTTCATCATGCTTTCTTTGGCGCTCTAAATAAGGTAATATTTTAAGATTTAATTAACCTCTACTGATCTTTGAAAATATGTTTTAATTTCTAAAATTAAGTTAATTTTATAAATATTTCACTGTCAGTATGAACTGCGGCCGTAGAACTCGATACCTGAAAATGTTGAAAGAAATTTGTGTTTTCTCCATAACGTGTAACATTATATTCCGGGAATTGTAGTCCATATGGTAATTTAAATTCCGGAATTCGAGAAATTTTGCTCGGACTGTATACCTTACAGTTTTACTCAGGATATATCAGGTTCGAATCTCAGCTATGACATGAAGAGTCCTGACTTAATATTTTCGTGGGCTCCCTGACATTCTCCAGAAAAATCCACGGATAGTACCTCAGTTTAGACCACGGTTATTTCTTACTGTATTCCTTGCAATTTATCTTTCATTTTGCATCTTATTATTGGACGATATACAGCATAAGTGACTGACAGCATTATTAACCCGACTGCGAAGATATATAATACGAGTTGGGGGAAATGTTAGAGTTCAAAAAGTTTTTTAATTTCCTCATATTTTTGTGTACCTTCGTAATCGGTGGAAAATAAAAAGTTTCGAGGCTCTGTCAAATTACAATATAATTTGTTTGTTATTAACTTAATTTAACATGAGAGATAACTCTACATATTCCGAAATCAGAATATTATCATCACAAGAGTTCGATCAGTCACTATGCAGATGAAGTTTTTCGAATTTTATTTTAACATGACTGTACGTATATTTTAAATAATTTATACTCTGCTCAGTAAAATAAATGAGGCAACGTGTTCTGATAGGGAATAACTAACTAATTAACTTCATGGAGCTGAGACCTTGAAAATCTGCCAATTGAGCAGGTACTCAAGAACTGCCCAAAATTTTATGAACCCAAAGTTCATTACCGTGTCCACAAGAGCCCTCCACTGGTTCCCATCTTGAACCAGGTAAATCCAACTCATATCGTCCCATCCTACGTCTCTTTACATTTTACATTACTTTTTAATATTATCCATCCATTTACGACTTGATCTTCCCAGTGGTCTCTTTCCTTCTGTATTTTCCCCCAATATTCTATATGCAGTCTTCTTCTCCCCATTCGTTCTATATGCCCTGCCCGTCTCATCTCTTCGGTCCAAATATTCTCCTCAGCACCCTGTTTTTAAACACCCTCAGTATATAATATTATATTTAAGCATCCTGTTGCACTCTATACGATATATGATATAAACTCCGTCGTAAGGGCAACAATATATTGTAGGTCTTTCGTCTTGCTTTCTTCTACACTACATCTTTCGGCCGCAAACGGCCATCATCAGGTGTATACACTCACGTAGCTGTTACACTGCACCCAGTTTAAAATTAAAAACATACAGGTCTTCCCAATTGTTCCCTTCGTCGCTGCTAACAGGATCGACTTCGCTGATATTTGTCTGATTCGTACCTAATCTTTGCCACCCACACACGTCAATTTTGACGTCTATGAACTGGCACTTTTAAAATCTTCAGTTCCAAATTTAAAAATTCTTTTAATCTTTTTTCTTCAAATTTAAAATTTAAAATTTAAAATTCTCAGGGTTACTCGCCCCACGTCTATAGTGCTGCAGCAGCTACTTCTTGTTTTCA